GGGCCTCTCACTGCTGTGGCCTCCCCCGTTGCAGAGCACAGGCTCCGGACGCGCAGGCTCAGCGGCCATGGCTCACGGGCCCAGCCGCTCCGTGGCATGTGGGACCCTCCCAGACCGGGGCACGAACCGGTGTCCCCTGCATCGGCAGGCAGACTCCCAACCACTGCACCACCAGGGAAGCCCCAATATTTTTAAGGAGCTCAGTTTCCAGACTCATTAACCTTTATATATATTCTTTCTTAGAATTGACTTGCCTGAGATCAAGGTGTCATGCTGGTTCTTCTTTCCCACCTCTTTTTGCAGAAATGTCCTTTTCTACCTCAAAAAAAAAAAAAAGACATGTCTTTTACTCCAAATATTATGATGATGCCTTCTCTTGGTAAAATCCTCCATGGCACCAGACAAAGACAAAATTTCAAAATAATGATGTCAGTGAAACTTCTTTTAATAAAGAAATTTATAAACCCATGTAAATTCTCACGTCTTCCTCTGTTTTCATACATTTTTCTGTTAAGGATGAAGTGGTGAATTAGAAAAGGGTTATTTTGCCCCATGTTAGGATAGTCTAAATTAATATGCATTGTATATATATTATATATATGTATGTGTGTACATATATATATATATATATATATATATATATATATATATATGAACAGCAGGAAAGATAACTGCCTTTCTTTGAGACTTTATCTCATCCAGCCCCTGTCTATTATGAAAGACTATTTCTGGAGAGAAAATCTAGGGAAAGCAAAGTAAAGACAGTGCAGCTATTGATAAGACCCTGATGTGTTACTTTATCTGGGCTAAGAGCTCATGGCAAGACTCTGCGCTTTATTTATCTCAGATTTCTAACTGAGCTTTGGGGATGAGTATTATCATGCTTATTTGAATTGAAGAATGAAATCAGACTTTTTTTGAACATTGTCTTATTTGGATCATTTCTTTGACAATGAAGATGGCTTTACCAATTAAGTTTTATGATGAACATTTTCATTCAATTGGATGAATTATATGTGCAACTCCAGTGTTCTGATTAAAACATGTATTAATATAAAGACATTTTAATAGAAAAGTAGCATAAACAAAAGTACGATGAAATTAACAATATTTTATTTTTCCAAACCTTACTTTGTATGCCAGGTAAAGCAAGGTGCCCATAAGTGAAAGAGTAACAGGCAAAATTGATAGTCATTTTAAAAAGGAGTAGAGAACTCAAGTTTCTGGGTCTAGAAACACAACATGGAACTTCCACTCACATATCATTGGCCAGAGTTATCCACAGGGTCCATCCTAACTGCAAGGACGTCTGGGAGGTCTCCCAGTGTGCTCAGGAAGGAGAGGATAATGCACTACAGTGAGCACCAGCAATCTCTGCCAGATTTTCTCAGCACATACAGCTACAAAAGAAAGGGAGTGCAGGAATAGAATTCATGCTGAATCCTGGCTCATTCTAGCAATTTTTAATTAATATTAATTAATTTCTTCTATGATACATGCATTTCATTAAGAGATGCATTCCTGTAACATTTTAGTTTTATATATACTGATTATTTATTAAGCATTGTAATATATTCATGTTGGTCTGATCAGCTGTGTGCTGATAGTAATTGAAATGGCAACTCAATACAGAAGAAAATGTATAACACTGCCTATGTTCACAGGGAAATTTTTAAAAATAATTTAAACTTATATACATATTTTACTACAGGCAAATATGGCAAGGAAATGAATAAAATAGTTTCAAAAATAAAAATATTAGCATAAAATTCTGTGTGGAGATTAAAATGGAAATACAAGACTAAACAGAAAAAGAAACAAGAATCTCTGACTGCTAAGAGCTTGTTTCTGTGTGCTTCTATCTTTAAATAGAGTATGATAGAATTCAAATTATCATGGTATCACCAATCAAAAGAAAGAGAACTCCTTGGTGAAGTGGTTGATTACAGGTCTGGGGCAGGAAAAATACAAGATGAAACTGAAATATCTTGTGATGCTA